TGATTAATAGTAATATACCTCACAGGGTTGCTGTGAGGAATAAATATCAATGCACATAAATAATGTCAACAGTGTCTAATATTCAATAGGTACTTAATGCTAATTATTTTTCCAGAGTGGTCCAAATGAACCACTGGGACTAAGGAGTCATCAAGAATATCACCTGGTTTTTACTGAACTATTATTCTATTATCAGAGTTTGATTCAGTGAACCAGAGATGGATAATGAATACTGCTAGTAAGGTCTGTAAACACTACCCATCCTGAGATAGTGAACCACTGTAAGCACCAATATACTTGAGGTAAACAAGTCATCGTCTTCCAGTGTCAATCCTTGCAGTCTCATGACACTTTAATCAAATGATGTTATAGAAATGATATAAACCTTTTTAAAATACAAGTCAAAGCTGAATTGCAGCTATTTAACTCTGCATAAAAAAACCTTTTCTAGATGAAGATCAAATGTTCGATAAACGATAAATTGTAAAACCTACTAACCAAATGTTGAAAATTCAAAAGGCCAGATTATATAATAATAGGATATGTTTAGTCTTATTACATAATATATTTAGTCTTCATGTTTGTTGAAGACTAAATATATTATGACATTTCAAAACTTAAAGTTGGGAGTTTTTGCATACAGTATAACACTTTTGAAAACTGTGAACGCCAAAACAGCAAAAGGCAGAGTTATTGCATTACTAGCTTTGGACCAGAGACTGGATTTCTCTGACACTTAGTTATCTAAAAACAGACATAATAATAATAATTTTTTTTTTGCTCACTTTACAAATTTTGGGGTACAATTAATTAAAATAATATATGTGACATGCCTGTGTAAAATGCAAAATAACATTTTATTTCTCATTACTGAAAAATTTTGGAAAAATTATTTACTTTCTTTAAAGCTTAGCCATTGTTACTTCACGCTAAACAAATTACAAAATCACCGTAGAGCTCATACCTCTCAGTACCCAGTTGACATCATTAGATTTGAGATATACTTTGTTCTCAGCAGCAAAATATTTCCAAAATCTCTCAGAATGAGTCCTCAGGTTTTGCCACAAACATACCATTTTCATTTCATTTATCTTGAAATATTAGAATGCTTATAAATACAATCATACTAACCAGAAATATGCATGTACATGCATAGATGGGGGTTTTATGTTTAATTTGAGTTCTTAGAAAGGAAATGCCAAATTATAGTATGTGCTGTAATTATTTTCCTTCTTTGCACCTATTTATCTCTAAAACAGTAATTTTAAATTTGGAGAAGGAAAAGGAATTAAAATTATGGAACTTACAGTAGAATATTCTAACATGTATACTCACACAGTTTGAGGACAAGGTCAAGAAAAAAAATCGCTGTCTGAAATGTAATCTCATAAGAATAAATTAGCAAAAATAAGCAGCGTTAATTATGTGCATCATTGACCCACTCTAAGAGAATTTGGAAATATTTTGCTGCTAAGAGCAAAGTATATCTCAAATCTAATCATGTCAACTGTGTACTGAGAGGTATGAGCTATATGGTGATTTTGCAATTTGTTTAGCACTAAGAAACAATGGCTAATTTTTAAAGAAAGTAAACATTTTTAAAAATTTTCCAGTAATGAGGAATAAACTTATGTATCTAGATAGAGATATTCTAAGAGCAGAATTTCTTAGAGAGTATTAAAAAGAGAACAACTACATCAGAGTGTATTGGTAAGATTTCTGGACCTGTTCTCAAATGAACTGATAAATTTGAATATTCATGGGCAACATGGCTGTCGGGATAACCTTTATTCATCTTTGGCTCAGAAAAATCTTTTTGGTAATCTAACGTGATCAAAAGAATGAATAAGAAATCATTGCGTATCTCATTCATTTTCTTTATTAAATATTGAAGAGAGAAGGAATGCTAATATTTTTATTTACCCTTAGGAACTGGATGAATTTCCCTTTTACACTCTAGGTCAATGATTCTCAAACTTCAGTGTATGTAAGAATAACCTAAAGAATTTCTAGTAAATGCCTATTTCCAAGCCACAGTCATGCCTAGATTCTAGGTTTTCAGATTTCCGAATTGGCCTCTCTCGAGCTCTGTATTCTTGTTATCTCTGGGAAAGTTGGCAAATTCAGCCACCTGGAACTGAAGCACTATAATCTAGAACAGCTAGAGACATTTTGCTTCACCATTAACCACCCTCTGCAACGCCCACCTGAGCAGCCAGGTGGCCTTCTGCTTTTTGCCTCCTGGTTCATCACTACCTTCAACAACCTTGATTAATATTGCACTTCCTCAAATACCCAGAATTATATAAGGTAAACTAATTGACAAAAATAAAATGGAAATTCATTCTGATTTTTCTTTAACAGACAACTTTCTAAGTAAGTGCTGCTACCAAGTAAAAATATTTCAAGGCAACATTGCAATGACTTTTTCTGTGCGGCTGAAATTTTTGCAGGACATACGCTAATGTTTTATGAGACAAGGATAAAAGAGTGGGAAACTAATACAGAGGAGGCAAGGGATTGACAGGGTCTTTGAAATATTTTATTTATATTTAGGGCTTTCTTTCACATTTAAGGTTAAGTGCTTTAAGGTTTTAAAACTTAAAACAAAAAGAAAAGCCTCACCGTTTCTTCAATCACAGTTCCTTGCTTCAATAAGATTGGCTGTGCATTGAAACCTTAATCAAATATCCAAGATACCGACTGCTCACTTTTTCCTCCCTGAGGGAGATTACTAAGTTACATCCAGTCAAGTTTACTGCTTACTTTGCAAGGGATATCGAAAATATATAGGGGGAAAAGTCATATCTGGCAGAGGGCATAGGAGTAACTGAATAATAACCTCTGCTTCTAGTCCCTGGGTCTTCTCTGTGGGATACCTATGGGAATTACATACACTCTCATCCTAAGACATAAGACTAAGATGTAAATTACCCCAAATGACATAAATATCCCTTAAAAAATGTGGCAAGCATCCAAATCAGATCTCTACATATTGTTGAGTGGGGTGTATTGCACAACTTTAAGGGGTGCCATTCATGCAGACAATGGGCAATGGAGCTCCTTGGGCAATAATGCACTGGCAGCCCTGATCCAAGTGTAGTTGCTCCTTTAACTTATGTTTTGTCGTGGAGATACCAGAGGACATTCACACAATGAAGATGCTGCTGATGACAATGAAACTAAAGATAATGACCAAAATTTGTGAATACCTACAATAGGCTGATGACTTTGCCAACATTTTAAAGAAAGGACCAGATTGGTGGGCAGTTGGGAGGGACAGATCTGATTAAGTACCAAAGACCCTGAAGGACCTCTGCTAATAATCTTTATTGCTCTTTATTGCTCTCAAACAGAGAATACATGGAATGGGGCTAAATTATTAGAAAAAGGCAGTTGTATTGCTTTTTCTCAAAATGGGGCTATGGAACTATGCATAGAAATATATACAAGTAAATATTGTAAACTAATCTAGTGTTAACATTTTGATTTTGGGATTTTTTCTACTTTTTTTGTGAGTTTAAAGCACTGTCAGCATAAACACATAAGGGGAAGAAAGGTTTTCTCTTTTAGGTTTTAAAGACTTAAGATATTTACTCATAAACAATAAATTGGGGGGGAGATTTGAATAAACAGATGCAAATCAAAGTACTAAAATTTTAGTTTTGTAAACAACCCTCCAAATCATCAGGCAATTCAAATGATGACAAACTAAGTTAATCATAATGAACGCAAACATTTTAAAACTTAATTTGTTGCAAAAAATCTTGGTCTACTCCTTAGAAATAATAATTTCTGCATTTGGTGAAACTCAGTGGCCACTAAGATTATCATAACCTAATAATCACATCTCTAGAAACTGATACTAGATTGTTTCCAACCTAGTAGAACATAATCATCAGTTTCTGATTTTCAGTCTCCAACCTCACCCCAATATGTAAAATTCTTTACCAGTAAGTGCCGTATATTAAAAGAACCTTTGCTCTCCACTGCTTTTATCCTTTAACTAAAACTAATTTTTTAAATCCTCCCGATGTGATATTTTCAAATACTTTCTTTGAAATAAAAAATATTTAAGTACTTTCACTAAAATCCTCTCTCTTCACCACTCACACATTCTTATATAATATAGAGACATTGAATCATCACGAGATCATTTTATTTAAAAATTGAGAATTATATAAAAAAGAATTAAAATGAAAAACATTGACTACCTTAATGATAGCAATCATGAATTCCATTCCTGACATAATGACATCCGTTTTTAACATAAAACAAATCACTTTACCAAAGCTTTCAAAAACTTGTTAACATTAGATCATTGTCAAAAGCCCCAATACCTGAATAATATATTTCTATATTACTCTGCAGAATCTATCACATTTAAAGGCTAATTATTAACTATAAAATCTGAATCTCAGTTTGTACATTTATAGAGGAGTAATTTTTCCAAGCATCATCCTAGAATTTTTAGGGGCAACTTAATAGAGAAATTGATATTGGATGAAGCCTGCAACCTCCTCAGGAATGCGAGGAAGTTTATTGCTGCACAACATTCCAGTTGAGCCCAACCTTGTTGAATGCATGCACTCAGCCTTTTCTGGTGTTAATATCTACACGAGTAACGATAAATGCTACACTGGTATTTCAAGGATAATAAACCAGAAGTTAACTTTTAATCTTTGCTCAAATGTGTTGAACAGCATCGTTTTTCTTTTTCCTTAGCAAAGAACTAGACATATTATTTTAGTCATCACACACTGGAAGAAAAGACCACGTACGTGTTAGAAATTTGGCCTTGAGAAGTTAGTCTATTTCCCCAAGCATGATGATCCTATTTTTAATTGACAGCTGTTAGCACAGTATCTTAGGTGGAAGAGTGTCTCTTGAAGTATGTAGGAGTTGCAAATAAGAGAGGATTGCTTTAGCTGGAGAAATAAGAGGTGTTTAGATGGTGAATTAGGAACAAAGAGCAGGAGAAGGAAACAGCAATGACTTACCTGTAATACTTTGGTCAAATTGTTAAATAGAGCCTGGCCAGCACTCACTTTGTATTTGACGCCTCTGACTGTGCCATTTTTGCTTAAAATGTTGACTCTTCTTGTACCAAAACCCTTCTCACTGGCAGCCCTTGCTAACACAAGCAAGCTATCCTGGTCATTCTCATTCTCATCACCTTCTGATTCTATGTGCCCATTCTGCTGCCCATCAGAATCACTTAATCCATCTATCCCACAGATACTGGCACATTCAGAATCCAGAGAGCCTGACGGTTGCCCATCTTCATACACTTCCTTCAGAACTCGCCCACTGTGAGAGGACGCGATCCGAAACCGGACTTTCCGTGGTCTGTCACTTTCTGGCTTCATCTCCCTTTTCAGCATGGTCACCTCCACCCACATGAACAGCTTATGGCATTCTGGATCCGTTGTTATTGCACTAGTCCACTTGCAAGATGGCAATATCAGAGCCAATTCTAGTGGTGGCAGCACTCCTGTGAAACTAACATAGAAAGGAAAGAAGATTCCCGAGGACTTACAGTGCGTCTCTGCTATTAATAATGTATGTGTGTGTGTGCTATGGTTACCTTTAAACTAAAACCTGCAAAATGATCCCAGACTTTAAATATTAAATAGCCATGGTGGACTCTTTAACAGGACAAGTGCAAGAAAGTGACATGCAGAGAATCCGAAAACATGTATGGGGCAAGAAAATGAAAGACTTGAACTTTGAAGCCAATGGTGGGCATTGAAAAGGACCTGAGCAGTGGACATGTCTCTACTATTCATTGTCCAAACCAGAGGTCAGAGGTAAAATGTGGAACCAAGTTTGTAGGATAAGAGAAGTCACAGTTTTCTCACAGCACTTATTCCTTCTTTCACTCACACTGCATCATCTTTCAAAAGGGCAGTGAACATGCTGCATGCCTGCACAGAGCTATCTATATTACTTCTTATTAAATCATCAATTAGATTTCATCTACATTGCATAAGATGAATATCCAACTTACATCTATCTTCAAGTAGTTTTACATCTATCTTCATGTTCAAACTTGGTAATAAAAGTGCTATTTTTTAGCTTTTTTGAAAAGACAGAACTTTTGCTTTGTTGCTTTCCCCCTTCTGCTAGTAGAAAACGTTGTTCTCTTTGACAGAGGAAAGGTTTGAGAAAGAAAACATATGCAACAGTGAGGGAAGAATGGAAAAACCGTCCAAGCTAGCCAGATCAGCCAAAGCAATCCAGGTTATCAGCATTGATAAATATTATATCCAAATCACCCATGCATAGAGAAAGGTGCTCCTCATGCTGTGCTCAGTGTATTTTCTATCACTTTGGCAAGCATCTAAGGAACCTGTTACGATATAAGATCATATTGAAATGTACACTATAGTGAGTGCCCCAAGCTGTCTGCACCTCCTGAGGGAGGATAAGCAGCTGACCTGCACAAAGTACTACACGTTTTTAATTTTTATAGTTTTAGTTTCATTATGAACTTAATTTACATTTATTTTAGAAAATTCAGAAAAATAATAGCATGAAGTTGAAAACAAAATCATGAAAAATCTCACTAGAGATGTTAATAATTTTGTGTATTTTCTTCCGGTATATACAGCAGAGATGCTCCATGGCTCACAAAATCAGATTGTCCAGACTCTTGCATTTAAGGGAAAAGGGAACAAGTGCCTAGCTTTGACAATGATTGTGAGCAAAAGTGATGCATCATTTATGCACCAAGGCAGTTGAGACAGAGCCTACCCTGTCTATGCTATTTTTCTTCCTGCCTCAACTGCTAGCTGCATGACCCCAGAGCAATCTGGAAGCACTATACTGAGCTTGTCAGAGTTACAGAGAAATTAATAACCACGACCACCCTGCATTAGATGATGTCATGGGAAAAAATAAGCCTTTATTGTGTTAAGCAATGAAGATTGAAATTTAAGAGTTGTTTGTTAGAGCAGATATCGTTACTGAATCTGATTAATACGCTCTCATATATAAAAGCATATTTCATTTATTTAGTATCTTGGTTTTTTCCAGTCAACCTGATAACGTGAATCATTTCCCATACCACTATTTCTGAGAAACATAAATTTAATGTGTGTATTAAGAAATCTCCTGATGGCCATGTTGTATTTTACTTTATTCTTTCTGGATTGCTAGATGTTCATTATTTAAAATGTTTAATAAAATAATACTATAATTAATATTCTTGCTTAAAAATCAGTGTACATATATATGGTTGTTTAACATAAATTTATTTGGGTAAAATTGATGAGGTAAGAATTTTTACAAATTTAAAGTTCTTGATAAAAATTGCGATTTGCTTTTAAGACAAATTGTATGACTAACACTTCTACTAGTATATGAATGCCTGTTTTACTGCATTTTTGCCAGTGCCAACACTGAATATGAATATAGGCATACCTCAAAGTATAGGCAACACTGAGGTATGAATATAGGCATACCTCAAAGATATCGTGAGTTTAGTTCCAGACTGCTGCAATAAAGCAAATATTACAATAAACAGTCACATGAATTTTTTGTTGCTCATTGCATATAAAGTTATGTTTACACTATACTATAGTCTATTAAATGTGCAGTACTATTATGTCTTTATAGAATGCACATATTTTTATTTAAAAATATTTTATTGCTAAAAAATGCTAACTATCTCCTTAGCCTTCAGAAAGTCATAACCTTTTGTTTATAAGGGGTCTTCTCTCAATGTTGATGGCTGCTGACAGATCAGGGTGGTAGTTGCTGAAAGTTGGAGTGGCTGTGGCAATTTCTTAAAATAAGACAACAATAATCTTTCACAAAAGATTTCTCTGTTGTATGCAACGCTGTTTGATGGCATTTGATCCACGGTAGATCTTCTTTCAAAATTGGAGTTGATCCTCTTAAACCCTGCCGCCACTTTATCTACGAAGATTTTGTAATATTCTAAATTCTTTGTTTCCATTTTAACAATGTTCACAGCATCTTCACCAGGAATAGATTTCATCTCAAGAAACCATTTGCTCATCCATAGGAAGCAACTTCTTATCCATTCAAGTATTATCATGAGATGGCAGCAATTCAGTCTCATCTTCAGGCTTCACGTGTAATTCTATTTCTCTTGTATTTCCACCACATGGAAGTCACTTCCTCCACTGAAGTCTTGAACCCCTTGAGTTATCCAGAAGGGTTTAAATCAACTTCCAAACTCCTGTTAGTGGTGATATTTTGTCCTCCTTCAATAAATCACAAATGTTCACAATGGCATCCAGAATAGCAAATCCTTTCCAAAAGGTTTTTAATTTACTTTGCGCAAAGCCACCGGAAGAATCACTATCTATGGCAGCTATAGCTTTACAAAATGTACTTCTACGATAATAAGACTTGAAAGCTCAAATTAGGCTGGATGCAGCGGCTCACACTTGTAATCCCAGCGTTTTGGAAAGTCAAGGCATGCAGATTGCTTGAACTCAGGAGATAGAGACCAGCCTGAGCAACATGGCAAAACCCAAAATCCCCTCTCTACAAAACAAAACCAAAACAATTAGCCAGGCGTTGTGGCTTATGCCTATAATCCCAGCTACTTGGGAACTGAGGCAGGAGGAACACTTGAGCCCAGGCAGTCAAGGCTGCGGTGAGCCAAGATCACCTCACTGCATTCCAGTCTGCATGACACGGGTTCATTGTAAATGAGCAGTAATATTTTTAAAGAATTTTTTCTTTTTTTTCTGAGAAGTAGGTTCCAACAGTGGACTTAAAATATTTAGTAAACCATGCTGTAAACAGATGTGCTGTCATCCAGGCTTTTTTGTTCCATTTATAAAGCATGGGAAGGGTAGAATTCACATAATTCTTAAGGGTCCTATGATTTTCCAAATAATAATTGAGCATTGGCTTCAAGTTAAAGTCATTAGATTCTAACAAGAGAGTCAGTCTGTCCTGTGAAGCTTCTCCTCCCTGGCTATGAAAGTTCTAGATGGTATTGTCTTCCAATAGATGGCTGTTTTATTCACATGGAAAATCTGTTGATCAGTATCGCCATTTTCATCAATAATCTTAATTAGATCTTCTGGATAACTTGCTGCAGCTTCTACATTAGCACTTGCTGTTTCACCTTGCACTTTTATGTTATGAAGATAGCTTCTTAAGCCTACAAACTAACCCTCTGCCGGCTTCAAACTTTTCTTCTGCAGCTTCCTCACCTCTCTCAGCCTTCATAGAAATGAAGAGGGAGGGCCTTGCTCTGGATTAGGCTTTGGTTTAATGGAATGTTGTGTCTGGTTTGATCTTCTATCCAAACCACTCAAACTTTCTTCATATCAGCAATTAGGTTGTTTTGCTTTCTTATCATTCACTATTCACTAGAGTAGCACTTTTAATTTCCTGAAGGAAATTTTCTTTTGCATTCTCAAATTGGCTGTTTGGTGCAAGACACTGCACTTTCAGCCTATCTCATCTTACATCCTGTCTTCTTCACTAAGCCTAATCATTTCTAGGTTTGAATTTAAAATGAGATACATGTGACTATTTGTTTCACTTGAACAGTTAGAGACCACTGTAGGGCTTTTAGCCTAATTTCAATATTGTTGAGTCTCAGAGAATAGAGAGACCTGAGGAGAGGGAAAAAGACTTGGGAATTGCTGGTCAGTGGAGCAGTCAGAACACACATAATATTTATCATTAAGTTTGCTATCATATGGCTGCACTTTGTGCTGGCCCAAAACAATAATATTAACATCAAAGATCACTGAACACAGATCACCATAATGGACATAATAATAATGAAGTTGGAAATATTGAAAGGATTACCAAAATGTGACACAAAGACATGAAGAGAGCACACGCTGTTGAAAAATATGGCACCAATAAACACTGAACACAGGGTTGCCACAAACTTTCAATTTTTAAAAAGTGAAATATATATGAAGCACAACAAAGCAAAGTGCAATAAAAGGAGGTATGCCCACATTACCAATTTTCAATTCTTTTTATTTTGCCAAATTGAAGAGCAGTATTTCATTGATGTTATAGTTTCCCAACTTTGAACACTATTGATGACTTTCATTCTAAATATTGTTTTCATAAAGAACTCACAATGAAGAGAAAAATAGAAAAAAAGGAGAATCTCTCCCTCACAAAAAAATGGGAGTAAAATGATAGAGAAATCTATGTAACACAGAAAGAAAGACAGACAGAGTGAGAGAGAGAGAGAAGATAGGTTAATATTATTACCAAAGGAAGATATAACACATATACCTAAATGACAGTGTAAGTGGCTTTATCTTAGTAATGTAAAGGAGTATATAATCTTCTACAAAGTGTATAACAAGAGAGCCTAAATGAGGAAACACTTATTGAGACAAAAGAAAAATAATGTAATTGTTTTTCCAAATGTCCAGGTCTTTCAGAATATACAGCTGTGAGTGAGGGGGACATCCTGGATATTGGCCTAATAAGGAAAAAAGTTAAAATTCTATGTTTGTCTCAATTTTTTTGTCTTAAGCCCCTATTTAATCTGCTCCAGTTCCATCTTTATAGTCTTTTGAGTTGGAAACAGTGTGTTTTATCACAAGCAAGATTTTGGAGTTAAAAACACCTAGGTTCATCTCCCAGCATACCTTAGTGAGAATGTTCTTTCTACCAGTTAAATTTTCCATTTTCCTGCTAAAATAATGGATACAATAATATACCTCAGAGATTGTGCTTGCAAAGTATCTGGAACATATAATCACTTAATTGTAATAACCTAATTAGCATGTACATATACTATGGCATGTACATATACTATATAATATGTGTCCTCGGGATAAAAATAACTAATTTTAGCCTGACTATGGTAAGACAAAGGCTTGCCACATGATCCAAGCTCACAGTCACAGATACAAGGGGTTAATAAACAATACAAAGAAATCAGAAAAACAATTCAAGATATGAATGACAAATTTACCAAAATG